ATTTTTCTCATAAGCAACATTCAATGGGCAGACTTCTTCCAAATTCAGATTAGTAATTTCTTTCCTTTTACCCATAGAAAACCTGTGTTAGTTTCAATTTTTCTGTTTTAGTTTTAATGAATTTCAGTACAATTATTTGTTTTCTATCTTTGATTATGGACTAATTTTGTACTTGGGGTTATGTTGAAATCCAATCATTAAGTTTTCATTCTGAGAAGCCAGAGCCTGATCTATTTTGCTTCATTTTTAATCAGTATTTCATTTGTAGATTGTTTTCGTGTTGAATTGGTCAATTAACAAGATGTATGAATGTTTAACTTGAACTGAGAAGGAATAGTTAAATGAGACCACCAAATGAATGCCATTAATTTGAGGAGATAGAAATACTCTTACAGGCAGTTTGTGATATCCCAAAATTTTGGGGATATTTTAGCATTAAGTAAGGGACTTAATTGAGGAAAAATTTTATTTTGGGGCTTAATCGTAAAATTTTAAAAAGTTGAGAGGCCAAAAGAAAGGAAATTAGAATAAGCATGAATTGCTTTTTCTTTTTCTTTTTCTTCTTTCTTTCTTCCTCCTCAGACCCGCATGCCCTGCTCTTCCTCTTTCCCCCCGATCCTCTGCACCCGACGAGCCCCGTTACCGCCCCCCTTTTTCCGGCCGGAAATCCGGCAAAGCTTGGGGATTTCTCCCTATTTTCTTGTTTTAAAACACCTGTTGAACCCAGAAATCTCCCTCCCCTGCTGGAAAATCCGGATCTGCCCTGCTTTGCTCTGTCCTTCCGCCGGCTGCTCCTACCTTGTGGGGGTGATTTGCTCCGATTTTGGGTAAGAAATAGCCATGAATCTCCCTTCTCTAGCTTTGATTGCCTTGGGTTTATGTTAATTGCTCTTATTTCCTTGAATTTTGGGTTAAAGCCGTGAGCTTTCTTCTTCCATGCCGCCGGCAACTTCCCCAACCTGCAGTCCGGTTTCTTTGCTTGCAAATTCTGGTATGTGGTAGCTCTTTAAGCCTAAGTTTAGCCATTTATGTGCTGCCTCTGTTGTCCGTGAATTGCTGGAAAAATGGGGGATAATTCCGGTAGCTTTAGGATGAAGTTTAAGGATTGATTCAAGTGGGATTTATGTGTTTTGAGTGTTAATTGACTGCTGTGTGATTTTTGGAGAAAATCCCGTGAATTTAGCTAGTGGGTTGGCCAATTTTTGGAAGTTGGAGTTACTGTTCACGTTGGGGGTACTGTTCACCGACACTGTTCACACACCGAGGGCCAACAATTAACGGGGATTTAAATGATTAGTTTGTGATATAAGAACGAATTTGGAGATATTTGATTATGTGGAGATTGATAGGAATTAGTATCGTGATTAAGGAGTCTTAATGATGATTTCAGTTTGAATTTATGATAGTGCGATAATTAATTATTGGGTATCTTGATTAGGTTCTTGATCGTTCTATCAGTTAGCATTGAGATTGAGTGCTCGGTTTTATGCGAGTGAGGTAAGTAAATTTATGGTAATGCCCGTATAATTTTTAAAAGCATGTTTTGATTTGTTTTTGAAGTGGTGGCGGGACTAAACCTGTTTTACACGAGCATGACTGATTTGAAGTGAAATGTTTTATGCTTTTCATTAAATTGAGCATGCCTACTTGAAATTCAAGTGATTGTCCTGATGATTTGAAAGTGATTAGTGAATTATGATTTTTCTGTTAACTTCAGCCTGTTTTGTCTTCGATGTGATCATGTTTCTGTAATTCTGCTAGTGGGAGTTAAACGCTAGCATATGTTGGCGCATGTCGATATGTTATTGATGATCCTGCTAGTGGGGGTTAAATGCTAGCACATGTCGGCGCTTGTCGATATGTTATTGATGATCCTGCTAGTGGGGGTTAAACGCTAGCACATGTCGGCATATGTCGATATGTTATTGATAGAACCGGTTCATTTCTGTAACCCTGCTAGTGGGGGTTAAACACTAGTAATTTCTGTCGCCTGCCAGTGGGTTGTTATAACACTGGCTATGACTTATAGATGAAACTACTGAACTGAGTTTTTTTCTGCATTAACGGTTTTTCAGGAAACGTTTTGTTATTGAACTGAATCTGATTTTGCATTGACGGTTTTGTCATTTAACGTTTTGCTATTGAATCGAATTTGATTTCCGCATTAACTGTTTAGCAGTGAAAGTTCTGTTGTGTTAAACTATTTATCTGGCATGTTAAAGTTTTTACCGAGGGCTATCCATATTTACTTACTGAGTCATCTCATAGTTTTCTTTGTCCACCATTTCAGGAAACGAAATTAAGGACGGGGAAACCGAGGGGAGTGACGAGTTAGAAGGCTAGCCATTTCGGGATTGATATAGATTTAGAAATAAATCATGATCTTGTATTTGGAGATTTTAATTAGAGATTTATGATATTAGAGAAAATTATGAAATTTGATCTTGAGATTTTGATGGTATCAGATGTGAATTGGATAAGTTCCGAGCCTTGTGCATTCGTGGGACCCGTTCACGAGTGCACGGTGTTTGTCATGCCTCGAATTCGAGTTTTGGGGCGTGACACAGTTTGATGCAGATTGTGAAAAGAGCTTTTTGGCTCTAAAAGCACAAACTGCACCAAACAGGGTAACTTCTCAAACGTGCTGCAGCTTCCCATAAGCACATCTTCCCCCCGTTCCTTTGCAAATCCTGAAAGCACCAATTTCGTCTTCCGCAAGAGCTTCTGGCTTCATGTTTAATGAAATTGACGTAGTCTTCTCATTTTATCCTCACACTTCCTTCTATTTACGAAAAAACTAATATATAAGGGTCAAATTTATAACATCACCCACCATTACCAAGCAGCCCAGGCACATTTGTTTCTTCTTCTTCATCTAATAAGAGAAAATAAT